CTCTCACTTCCTCCCTCTCCCTGGTTCCCTGACTATCTCTGGACCTCTCTGGAGATGTCTGTCTGCTTCTCACACACATTCCTCTCATTCTCTCTGACTTGGGCTCCATTCTTGGCTGACTCATACTCATTTTCCTCTCCGTTTCTTCCACCCCCTCCTCCTCCATCCCTTGGCCACTCTTACCAGAAACTAGCCACTCCCAGCACCCTGAACCCTAACTGGACCCAGGAAGAGAGGCCACCAGAAGCCCCTACTCTCATTAACCTCCAAAGTCCTGTCTCCTTGTTTTAGAGGAATGATACCAAGATTTTCTCCTGTCTTTCCCCACTGTTTTTAAAGAGGAACAATCTGCAGCCAGGGGCTGGGAAAAGCTCCCAGAAAATCAGGATGGACTTGGGGACAGTGGCCCTTTCTGTCCACTCAGCTGTCCTGCTGGACTGATGGCTTGGAACCCGCAGTTCAGAAGACTCCTCATGGGATGCCCCACCCCACAGAGTGGGGGTGTGGTGGGTGGCCGGATGCGTAGTGCAGGGACGTTTGTGATTTGAAGTGTGCTAGACGATGTGTATAAGTCACATGGATGTGTGTCACTGTGTGTGCTGGCGTGCCTTACAGGTGTGCGTGTTTCCTTGTCAGTTTTAACACGGATTCTATGAAATTAATAAGGGTTTTTCCGTTAGATACATCACTCCTCTACTCCCCCAGCTCCTCCCTCCCTCTGGACAAGCTTTCCGCCAAGCCCGCCTCTTCCCCAGGTGCAGCGGGCCGGGGGTGAGGGCACACGGTACCAGCCGCCCGCGGAACCGGGACAGGGCTGGGCCGGGAGACGGCCAGGGAGGCAAGTCCGAAGCCAGGGCGGGCAGGGAGGGGCGGGCGCCGGCCTGGCCGAGCCGGCTGGGCGGGAAGCAGGCTGCATCCTAATCCCCAGGCCCCGGTCGGACTCCCGAGCCGCGGTGCAGCGTGGACGGGCTGGCCGGAGCCACGCCGCCTCCAGCACACGCTCGGCGCTCGGGACGCGCCGACCGCGGGACGGACCCCGTGGGGCCTGACAGGCGGACCCGTCCGGGGTCCCCGCGCTCCCCGTCCGGCCCCCGGCGTCCCGGGTCGTCGCCCCTCCAAGCCGAGACCTCCACGCCTGCCCCTTCCCGCGACACGTCCCCTCCCCGCCCCTCTCACCGCCTCTGGAGCTGAGCGCTCAGGGCGCGGGCACTCCTGAGTCCCGGTTCCCGAGCAGCGTCCGGAACCTCCTCTTCGGCTCCCGCCGCCGCCGCCGCTTCAGCCGCCGCCGCCGCCGCCTCTTCCGCCCGCGGAGCCGGAGCCCGAGCCCAGCGCCGCTCACTCCACCCGGCTGGCCGGTGATGTCAGAGCCGGGGAGGGGCGGGGGGCGGGGAATGGCGCGAGGAGGGGGAGGGGGGAGGCAGGAGGGGGCGGGGACGGAGGGGCTGGGGTTCTGGAAGACTCTTAGGACGGGGACAGAATTGGGCGGAGGGCTGGAGCAGACGCGGTCTCTTGCCCCGAACTGCGAAGCAATCGTCATATTTAATTCCTTCCCAGCAGGGCACCCTACTCCCCTTTTGACCTTTGGATGACCACGGTGGCTAGGACCCCTGGGAGGCACAGAATAAGTTCAGTTAAGGGGTTTGGAAAGCCTTTGGGGGCTGGATTCTCTTAGTCGCCGGCTTTGGTGTTTGTAAAAACTTCTTTCCTTGCCTTAAGGGTCAGGGGCGCCGTGGGAAATGACTGATCAGACTTATCCACGTTGGGAGTGAAGGTAGGGGGTCCGGGCCACATGGGGACTTGAGGAGCCCTGGATCTTCTCTTTCCAGGGTGATGCCTACAGGCCCTCTCGTGTTCCTCTCACCTTTCCCAAACATGCCCCGCTCCTGCCTTCCCCCTACCATGATGTAATTTTATTTTCTGGGGAGAAAAAGAGCAGCAGTGAGCTCAGCATGCAAATATAGACAACTTGCAGAGCCACACTTAGCTCTGTCTCCTAGTTCTGCCCCTCTGCCCAGGCCCATTGTGGCAGCTCTCACTTCCCCTCTACCCCAGGGACTTTCCTCCCCCAGACTCTCAGCCAGACTGAAAGAGGAAAGGAAGAATTGGAGAAGCATCTGTTTTCACCCTCATCTCTAGCCTAAGGGGTTCTGCCTCACCTCTGGGCAGGGTTTGGCCCTGGAAAGAAGTCTGTCCTGGGGTGGGTCCTTCCTGCCAAGAACTCCAGCAGGCCCAGGTTGGGGGATCCCCTCAGTGTTTGTGCCACTTCCAGGATCACCCCATCTCGCCTTAGTTTCAACCTGGTAGAGACTCCTCCGATGAGCCCCTCCTTTCTCTGGTCTACGCCACTCCTAAAAGAGGCTCAAGTTTCTGCTGCTCTGGGCTTCACAGCCTTTCTCTGCTGTTTCCTCTCCCAAGCATTCCCTGGCACACCTTAATCGTTTGCCTTTGTATGTATCATGTTTGCTCTGTGTTGTAGGGACAAAAGCTATTTCCTTGTAGTTTCTAAGTAAAAGGCTCAGGTCTGGAGACAAGACACTGGGCCTTGGGTGCGAGCTAGCTCCACCCCTTCCTTGGGCAAGTGATGCCTGAAGCCTTAGCCTCCTCGCCGGTTAGATGAGGGTGCCAGTGCCTATTTCTGAGGGTTCTTCCAAGATTTAGAAATACTTAAGTCTCTAGGGACTGGCACAGATGGGTGCTTAAAAAATAGGAGCTATTATTTAGACTGGGGCCTTCCACTGACCTGAGCTAGACAGTCAGCCCCACAATATTATTGTAATACCAGCTTAGTGCCCATACTACTTATTAAACATTGATTAAATAGGTACAAGTTGGAATGAATACACAGTTTCTACTTTCTACATTCCTGCCGCCTTCTCAAGGAGCACTTCCTGGACTTGTCTGTGGAGAGTGAAAACATATCAATCTCAGGGCTTGTCTTTCCATACTTAGAAATCGTCTAAGTCTCACAGCAACAACTTCACAACTGATCCATGAAAAATATAATGTTGGCTGGGCACGGATGGCACACACCTGTAATCCCAGAACTTTGGGAGGCTGAGGTGGGTGGATCACCTGAGGTCAGAAGTTCGAGACCAGCCTGACCAGCACAGTGAAACACCGTCTCTACTAAAAGTACAAAAAATGTTAGCCGGCATAGTAGCATGTGCCTGTAGTCCCAGCTACTCAGGAGGCTGAGGCAGGAGAATTGCCTGAACCCAGGAGGCGGAGGTTGCGGTGAGCCAAGATCACGCCATTGCACTCCAGCCTGGGTAACAAGAGTGAAACTCCGTCCCCAAAAACAAACAAACAAAAAAAATCTCAGAAATATTTTTTTGTAGATGATTCTAAAATTTATGTGAATGTAAAGGAACAATTTTGAAAAATAAGGTGAAGAGAATCAGCCTATCTTATTTAAGGTTTAGGCTGGGCGCAGTGGCTCTCGCCTGTAGTCCCAGCACTTTGGGAGGCCAAGGTGGGCAGATGGCGAGGTCAGGAGATCGAGACCATCCTGGTCAACATGGTGAAACCCCGTCTCTACTAAAAATACAAAAAATTAGCTGGGCATGGTGGTGTGTGCCTGTAATCCCAGCTACTCAGGAGGCTGAGGCAGGAGAATTGCCTGAACCCAGGAGGCGGAGGTTGCGGTGAGCCGAGATCGCGCCATTGCACTCCAGCCTGGGTAACATGAGTGAAACTCCGTCTCAAAAAAAAAAAAAAAAAAAAAGAAAAAGAAAAATATAATATTTATTATTTATGGGCTTGGGCTTGTTTAGCTTTTTGACCCTCCCGTACCTCACCCCTGAAACTTCTTTTTGCTTACCCCAGCCTGGGCCTATCCTGGAGAGACTGTGGGTCCTTCTTGCCAAGACCTCCAGCAGGCCCAGGTCTGGGAGATGCCGACTGTATACAATATCTCCTCTCCATTCCCATGACCACCATCTCTCCCAACATCACTCTAATTTTTCTAACGGTCACTGATTATGAGTTGGGCTACTTGCCTCTGGCATCTCCATCACCTCCCCATCCTGCTTATCTCTACCGGATTAAATTTTGCCCTGCCTCCTCAGCTCGAAGAATTCAATTCAAACAGCTCTACAACCCAGCCCCATTATGCTTACCCAACTGCGCGGCCACAACTTGAATGTCTCTTCTTGTCTGTCTGGTCTCTGTGCCCTCAATACGACAAACACATCCTGCCAGAGCTTGCTGTTTCCACTGACTAAAATGTCTCCTCCTCAGCTCCTTTGTCTCCAACCAAATCCCATTCTTCAATTTAAGGCCTAGTAAAGGCTTACTTCCTTTGTGAAGTCATCACGCCCACTCTGATCGCTTTTCTGAGTCCATTCTGTTCTTTCCTTTGTTCTTCCTTTAAAAAACATTTATTAGAGACAACTTTTGAGTGTCAGACCCTGTGCACGCAAAGAAAAAGCTTGGGTTCCTGCCTTCAAGGGGCTCACAGTTGAGTGGGGAAGACAGACATGTAAGTGATGAACAGCAATAGACTGATCTGAGTACCGGAATGGAAATGCCGCGGGAACTCAGAAGAGATCATCGCTGGAGGGACCACCTCTGGGAAGGCCTCACCAAGGAAGGATAATTGGAGCTCAGTCTTAATGTTCAAATTAGAGCTGCAGAGAGGGTGCTATCCAGCAGCACATAATCACTTAATTACATATTGCTTTGTATTTTTCTTCGATTGTTTAGTGTGTTTGTCTTGACTTCTTGGGGAGGTTAATCAGCTCAAGAGCAGGGACAGGCCTGGCACTCTCTGTTCTCCCGGAGCCTAACAGCAGCCCTGGACAAACACCATGTGTTCAGAAAAGGCTTGTTGACTTGAAGCAGATAAATAATCCAGGCTTCTCTGGGAAAGCTGCCTGGAGGAACCCCAGCCCCCCATCAGAGTCCCCCAGCTCTCCCCTGGCAAGGCACCCACATCTAAGTCCCCCGTCAGAGGCCACCTCCTCCTGCCATAGGGGTGAGACCTCACCAACATACACTTGTTCATGCTGCCCCAGATGTCTTTATTGAGGCTTCCCATTTGACCCAAATACATTAACAAGTGATTGCTGAGATACAGTCCCAAAGTATCCTCCCTTCCTTCTGGCCAGGGACAGGACTGTCCGAAAGACACAGGAATAGAAAGAGTGAGGGAAGGCTATGCATAGATGGAGGGAACAGAACAGAAATGGGGCCCATATATATGGCTAAAGGAGAAGCACAAGAAAGAGTATGCAGAGTGATGGAAGAGACACATAATAGATGAAAGTAAGTTATGGGATAAGAAACAGAAGTCAGATGAGAGAGAGCTGGGCTGGTGTCTAGGGAAAAGTAGCTCATTTCCTCATCAAAGGAGGGGGATCAGGGTCTCAGCACCCAGTGCACAGACCTCAGTGAGCTCAATGGCAGAGAATAACCTAGTGTCCCTGGAGGAACTCAGGGAAGGACAAGGGAGGCAGGGGAGAGCATGAAAAGATCAGTGGGGCTGAAAGATGGTTGCCGCAGCAACTAGTCATCATCGTCATCGTCATCGTCGTCGTCCTCTGTGTTGATCTCGCCCTCCAGCACATCCTCCAGCCAGTCCTCCAGCTCCTCAGCAGAAGGCAGGTCCTCCTCGTCATCCATTTCCATCCATATGCTATCCGCCTAGAAGATGGCGCAGGCAGGGGATGGAAGGTGAGTCCCGCCCAGGTCTTTGGATCTGCCCTCCCACTCACTGGACTCTGTACATCCTTCCCCACTTCCTCGGACCCTTCCTTTCGTCTGCCAATGGCCAGGGAAACTGTCCAGGTGAAGGTACGTGTTAGAATCGTAACAGGTGAGGCTGGGAAGAAAAGCTGGATTGCAAAATAGACCTCCTCCCTTCGGTCTGTCTTCCCTGCTCTTGCCACACTGAACTTCCCTATCATGCCTTTGTTGCAAAACCACTGGTAGCTCTTCATGGCCTAAGAATAAAGTCAGCAACTCTTCAGCATTCAGGATGTGTCTTTCTTTCCTTATTTTTTTTCTAAAAGAGACAGGGTCTCACTCTTTTGCCTGGGCTGGAGTGCAGAGGTGCAGTCGTGGATCACTGCAGGATTGAACACCTGGCCTCAAGTGATCCTCCCGCCTTGGCCTCCCAAAATGCTGGAATTACAGGCCTGAGCCACCACCGCCAGCCCCAGGGCTTTTCATAACCTGCTTTTCTAGTACCATTCTCAGTGATCTCTAGACTCTCAGCCATAAGAATTTACCTGCCTTTTCCTGAACCTAATACTCATTTTCCTGCTTTTGACCTTTTGATCTTGCTCTTTCCTCAGTTTGGAACTGACTTCCCTGAATCATCACTTGTTGAAATCCTATACGCCGGGCATGGTGGCTCACGTCTGTAATCCCAGCACTTCGGGAGGCCAAGGCAGGCAGATCCCCTGAAGTCGGGAGTTCAAGACCAGCCTAACCAACATGGAGAAACCCCGCCTCTACTAAAAAATACAAAATTAGCCGGCATAGTGGCACATGCCTGTAGTTCCAGCTACTCGGGAGGCTGAGGCAGGAGAATGGCTTGAACCCAGGAGGCGGAGGTTGCAGTGAGCCAAGATCGTGCCATTGCACTCCAGCCTGGACAACAAGAGCCAAACTCTGTCTAAAAAAAAAAAAAAGAAATCCTATACGTATAATCTCCATTTTGAATGTCACTTTTTCTTGAACTTTTCTCTGATTCTGTCTAGCAGATATCAGTGTGATTCCTGTGTCCTGTTTTATTTGTATCTTTATTATAAAGTTTATCAGACCTGCCCTTGTAGTTAATGGAATACCCGCATCTCCAATTAGTCTGATAAGTCTATGAAAGCAGAGACTGTGGCTCATTCTGTTCAACTTAGTAATTTTGTTGTTGTTGTTTTTGTTTCTGAGACAGTCTCACTCTGTCACCCAGGCTGGAGTGCAATGGCACAATCTCGGCTCACTGCAACCTCCGTCTCCCGGGTTCAAGTGATTCTCCTGCCTCAGCCTCCTAAGTAGCTGCGATCACAGGTGCCTGACACCACGTCCGGCTACTTTTTGTATTTTTAATAGATAAAGGGTTTCACCATGTTGTCCAGGCTGGTCTCGAACTCCTGACCTCATGATCTGCCCGCCTCGGCCTCCCAAAGTGCTGGGATTAAGGTGTGAGCCACTGCACCTGGCCTAACTTAGCAGTTTTGAAGCACCTACTGTGTGTGCATGAGAAGACTTCTGCCCCGAACAAGCTCAAAAGTCTACTGAAAAAGACTGATGTAATATAGCCATTTAAATGTCATCTTCTCTTAATGAGCCCTGGAGTGCCAGGGAGGGAATGATTCTAAATGGGAGATCTGGAAAGACTTCACAGAGGAGAAAGGGTTTGAACTGGGCCTTGAAGGATGAGCCACTGATTCCAACATATTCCGATCATAATTCTCTGCCTCCATCCAGCCACTAGACTGGGCATGTCTGTGTCCTGTGGGAAGGGCCCGACTCTTAGTTAGCAGCGGAGGAGAGCTAGCTAGGCTAGGAAGCAGAGTCGGGGGTCAACCGGGGATGTGGACAGGAAACTCACATCAGTAACATTGACGACTCCTATCTGTGGGGCTGACAAGTCGATGTCAAACGTCTTCTCCCAGTATGGGACGAGCTGTAGAGAGATCCAAATATGGCAACTCACTGGATGCTAGGAACACGTGAATTCAGGAGGATGAGTATGAGGGCCAGCCCAGGGATGGAGAGGGGACAGCGTGAAATGACAGTGGAGGGGGACAGGTCCAGCTGTGAGGGCACCAAGACAATGGGTAGAACTCAGCAGCGAAAGAGGAGAAATCCTGAAGGGAGAGCATCGGGAGGGTCAGCCAGCCGCACTGGCCCCTCTTTTCTGAGGAAGACTGGATCGGAAACCCTGTTCTCATCCTGGATCGGATCCTCGTGTTCAAGGTCAAGTCCCTTCTCTCTGGCCCTCAGATCTTACTTTTCTGAAACAAGGCAGGTATACCTGGTAAGTACCAATGTTTCTCATGTTTCTCTTTGTTCTTTCAGTTACTCATTCAACGAGTGCCAGGTGTTGAGAATTTAGCTGAGAACAAAACCATCTCTCGAAACATGGAATCTCTGTGCTGTGATTCTAGGATTGAGTGTGTATACCCATGTGAAGGGCTGTTGTGCTTCGAAACACTGGTTTTCTTTAGGAGTGAGCCTGGTACCGGAGCTACCCATCCAGCCTCTGCTCTAGGAATCATGTGTGAGGTCCCGTCCTGTTTCCCCTTGCTCAGAGTGCCCTCCATGCCCACAGTGCCCTTGAGCATGCAACACGAATACCCTCCCAGGGTCCCCCAGCTAGGAGGTGGGGATAGGCACTCTGAAACAAAGCCCTCACTAAGAAGATGCCACAGTCCAAGACCCCGCCTTAGGATAGCAGTGCCTGAGCTGTGCCTCTTACCAGGGGGAAGTCATCAGGGTCAATCCAGATGATACTAAGATCAGGGTTTTCAGTGTTTTCTCGCGCCACCGCCTTGAGAGTCTCTAAGAACTCGAAGCCATCTTGGAGGGAACACCAGTGCGAAGTGTGAGGTGTGTGGAGAGGAAAGGGACCCAGATGAAACGGGAGTACGGAATTACCTCCCTGCTCCCCCAGCTCCACTTGCCTAGCCCTAGGCTGCTTGCAAACTCCCAGGGAAGCCTCCGCGTGAGGCCTATGCTCCAATAAACACACCCACCTCCCCCTGCCTTCCCTCCTGTCCAACCCAGTAGTCCTCCCTCACCGGGATCAGCTTCCTCTGCGAAGGCCACAATGTGGATTCCATCCATATCATCCTCCTGTCAGGGGGTAAGAGGGAGAACAGGGTTTTGGAGAAGATCTTATGATACTCCCTAAACCTGGAGAGCCCAGAACAGATCCTGGAGGTTCACTGAACCTCAATTGTGCGGAAATCCAGTTTCGGGACCAGATATATTCTTGTGAGGTGACCTTTTCCCAAAGGACACTCCCTTTCAGCTCCAAGGCCCCACACTTCTGATAATTCCTTTATCCCCAGGCTTGAGGCTCCTCCCTTGTCATCTTTACTTATGTCTGTCTCCCATTTCCTCACATATTCTTCAGAGTAGAAAACCTCTCACTGCTGAGCCGGGCAGGGTGGCTCCTGCCTGTAATCCCAGCACTTTGGGAAGCCAAGGTGGGTGGGGTCATGAGGCCAGGAGTTCGAGACCAGCCTGGCCAACAAGGTGAAACTCGTCTCTACTAAAAATACAAAAAAAAATTAGCTGGGCATGGTGGCAAGCGCCTGTAATCCCAGCTCAGAAAGCTGGGGCAGGAGAATTGCTTGAACCTGGGAGGAGGTTGCAGTGAGCCGAGATCATACCACTGTCCTCCAGCCTGGGAGACAGCGAGACTCTGTCTCAAGAAGAAAAGAAAAGAAAACCTCCCACTGCTGCTAGTGTACTGTTTTTACCTTTTTTTTTTTTGAGATGGAGTTTTACTCTTGTTGCCCAGGCTGGAGTGCAGTGATGCCATCTCAGCTCACCGCAACCTCTGCCTCCCGGGTTCAAGCGATTCTCCTGCCTCAGCCTCTCAAGCAGCTTGGATTATAGACATGTGCCACCACACCTGGCTAACTTTTTGGTATTTTTAGTAGAGATGGGGTTTCTCCATGTTGATCAGGCTGAACTCCCAACCTCAGGTGATCCGCTCGCCTCGGCCTCCCAAAGTGCTGGGATTACAGGCGTGAGCCACCGTGCCAGGCAGTGCACTGTTTTTTTCTACCAATTGGCCTGAGGAACAGCAGGGTGGGATTTTTCTAGGACTTGAGTCTTCTGGCACTTATGCTTCCCTGAGGGTCCTGGCGGGGGCACTCACCCAAGTCTCATACATACTCTCAGGCTTCAGTTTTCTCAGGGTTGATCTAGAAGAGAGACAGAGTGTCATTAGCTCAGTGGGTTAGAAGGACGCCCCCTCCAGAGGGTCCCATAGCAGAGGCTGCCTCTGGGTCAGGCCCAGGGCACAGACAGCTTGCAGCCTAGAACAAAGCCATCTGGCAAGGCCTCAACTCTGGGCACCAGGCCCAGCTCATTGCATGGTTAAAGTGGTGGGAAAATGGAGGGTGGGCAAAGGGACTGGAGAGAGACTCTGGGGAGAAAGGCAAGAACTGGACATCAGGGTCTTCATTCACTGTGTATTCGTGCATTCACTCGTTCACTGTGATTGAGTGCCCAACATGTTCTAAGCACTGCGCTAGGTGCTGGGTGGAGCTGAACCAGGCAGGGAGCTGGTAGTATGGGAGAGAGCAAGCACTGCTTCTGCTGGTGATTCGGTATTTCCGGTTGTGGACTGCTACGAAGGAAGGAAATTAGCTGTGCGTGCAGGGCAGAGGTATTCAACCTCAGCACTATTGCCATTTGGGGCCAGATAATTCTTCATAGTAGGGGACTATCCTGCGCACTCCACAATGTTTCGCAGTATCCCTGGCCTCCATCCACTAAATACTAGTAGCACTCCGCACAACCAAAAATGTGTCTAGACATTGCCAGACATCCTCTGGAGGGCAAAATCCTGTTCCCACCTTGCCATGCCTTCCAGCCTCGTAGAGAACCACTGGTGTAGGGTATTATATTAGAAAGAACATGGGGCTGGGCGTAGTGGCTCATGCCTCCAGCACTTTGGGAGGCTGAGGTGGGTGGATCACTTGAGGTCAGTTTGAGACCAGCCTGGGCAACATGGTGAAACCCCGTCTCTACTAAAAATACAAAAATTAGCCAGGTGTGGTGGTGTGCCTGTAATTCCAGCTACTTGGGAGGCTGAGGCAGGAGAATTGTTTGAATCTGGGAGGTGGAGGCTGCAGTGAGCCAAGATGGTGCCATTGTACTCCAGCCTGGGCGATGGAGTGAGTGGGGGATTTTCGATCTCGGAAAAAAGAAAAGAACGAACGAACATGGGACACATCAGTGTCAAAATCCCAGCTCTGACACTTATGACCTGTAGAAACTTTCACTGAGGTTGTTAAAGAACTTAATACAATAATAGAGGTGGAAAGCACCTGGCAGCTCCTGGCAGACCGCAGGCAGTCAGCACTCATTTGTTGACAGAGGTTACTTAAGTCACACTCAACCTCACATTGAATTATACGCATTTATGGAGGACCTTCTCTGCGTAGGGCTCAGGGCTAAGTACTCGGGTGTAAAATATTGTGCAAAATTATCAGTGTATCAGAGAGCACTGGAGCCCAAAGTGCATTCATCTCCAGGCGAGACTGGCTTCCCCAGCCCATCTCACACAGTGCGTTCCAGCCCAAGGAGGAGCCGACTGCGCTCAGAGGGCTGCCCTCGGCCCCCACCTCCTGTGCTCCTCCACGAAGCTGACGATCTCCTCTTCGCTATTGGGCTTGTCTGGGATGGTCACAGGCTCTTCCATGAAGGCCTCATAGAAATCAATCTCGTTCAGCTTCAGGGTCAGCTTCTTTGCCACCTTTGGGAGAGGGGGTAGGAGGGGAGCGGAATAGGAGATGCAGGGTCATGTCGAGAAGCAGTATTACCAGGGAACACACATGAGGAAGGGAGTCAGGAAGCTGGGATCCTCGTCACTGCCATGTGACACCCAACAAGTGTCTTAACTTCTCTGGGGTTGGGTTTAACATGAGACAGCTGTCAGACCATCTAAAGCCCTGCTTCAGCTCTAAATCTATGGAGTGGGAGGAGCCGGGGTGGGGTAGGGAGTGCCAGTGCATAGGAAGCGACTAGGTCTGCCATCGGTTCCAGGAGGGGAAGCTGGAGGACAGCTTCGGGACATCAGGGACACCCAATTCAGCCGCGGGGAAGAGAACCTTGCTGTCGAAGGTGGCGAAGAAGGGGATGTAGGGATGAAACTCCTCAGCCGCATCCTCGAAGGCTTTGTAATCTGAGCGGGGGAATGCAGAGTCAGTCTCTGGGGAAACCAGGGGCTGCCAGGGAATCATCCCCCACTAAGGTCCCCAATTCTTTGCAGGCAGGGTTCATTTTGAGACCCACCCCCTCTAGTCCTCCAAGAGTGAGGGGAAGGTGAAATACTGGAGGTACTTGTCTGGGAACTCTGAGAGTACAGGGAGGTCAGAGCTGTTGATGGCGCTGACCATGGCTGGAGGAAGAGGTGGGAACTGAGGAGGTAGTGGCTGAGACGCGGACAAGACGGGGATCCAGGGAGGGGCACAGTGGAGTCTGAGGGTTACCCACGCTCTGAGTCTTTGCTCTTGAAGTAGCCAATGAGTTTGATCTCATCCTCAATATTCTCAAATGCCTGGAGCTCTCGATCACCTTCGATCAATTCCACAGGGTCCTCTAGGACCTAAAAGTGGAGGACATTGCAGGAAGAGAATTTCTATCCTCAAGTAGAACCAGAAAGGGACCTAGGGAAAAGAAGGCAAGGGAACTGGAGGAGGGGACTAGAGGCTGACAGTGTGTGTGTGTAGGGGGTTGTGGGTGTGCGCGTGTGTGTGTGTGGTGTGTGTGGAGTGTGTGTTGTGCATGTGTGGTGTGTGTGAATGTGATTGTGTGTGTGTGGCGGGTGTGTGGTACGTATATGATGTGTGTGTGATGTGTATGGATGTATGTGTGTGCTGTGCATGGGGTGCATGTGTAGTGTGTGGTATGTAGGTGATGTGTGGCCTATTGTGTGCATGTGCATGCATGTGTGTGGTATGCGTGCGCATATGGTGTGTGTACACGTGGTGTATGTGTGCAGGTCAGGTTGGGGTGGGTAGGAACTAGGGGTCAGGCAGTGGAGTCTTCAGGGAAAGCTGTCCAGTCAAGGGGAGTCCGTACATCAAGCAAAAACTCCACGAGGGTGTCAGCAGAAAACTCGCCATCGTACTCAATGACTTCATCTCCCTTGAACACGTACACGCTGTCCACTTCAGTTAGGCCTAGGGAGTGAGCTGGGGGTGAGGCACGATCCCAGGCTTCCCACAGATCCAAGGTCCAAATCCTAGGCCACAGCCCATGTGATAATCCCCTGGGCCCACATGCTCCACCTCATGGGCCCGCGGTCCCACCCACCTCCTCTGACCCCAGGCCGATGGGCCTGATGTCTCTGCCCCTGGATTTAGCCCACGAGGCTGGACTGACCCCGGGGTTCTCTAAGGAGAACCTGGAGGATCAGGGAGGGTAGGTAGGGTGAGGGGAGGGAATAGAAAGGTGTCGATTCTAGCAGTATTTCTCCCCTTCTCTGATTACCACGACTAGAGATGAGTACTCATGCCCCTCTGAGGGCTGCAGTAGCTGGTTCCCAGTCAAGCTCTTTAATTGCTTTTTCTGACCAGATGACTTCATTATTACTGACCACCCCTGCCCCATCTATGTCCGGAATCCCGTCTCAACCCTGTGCTGCCCCCTGGTGGCTGGCTGCTGTAACAACCATGGCCCTGGAGGGGAGGGGTTGGAAGTGGAGTTAGCAGAGGTCTGGCCAGGCTCAGCCTGTGGGGGACTCCCCTTCCCTCCAGCACCTAGCCATGTTTCTTAGGTAAGTATAAAGAAGGCTCCCCACCTCTTTCTGGGATTTGAGCATGGGACTTGATAAGGAATAGAGAGGGAGAGTCTCCCAGCCATAACTCTCCCAACCTCATATCTTCTCACCCCCTCTTTTAGAATGGTCATAGATCTGCGAGGTTCCCAAGCCCCTCAGACCCCAAGGCCGGCCTGACAGGACCTCCGCCCCATCTCAATGCCACCTTCCTTTCCCTTGCCCTCCCCTCTCTTACCTAGTTTCTTGGCCACAGCTGCGTCCTTCTCAGAGTCTACCAGCCCGAAGCCAACACCCTTGTCTTCTAGGACTTGGGCTGCTAACTGGAGAGGAGGGTTAGGATCACAATTAGCCCCTGGGATTTTCATTATCCCCTGTTCTCCCTCTCATGCTTTCAAGTTGGGTCAGTTGAGGTGCAGGATATATAAGAGCTGACCTTGACCCTTTGCTAAGATCCAGAACATCCCCCAAATTCCCTACAACCACACAGTTCTGTTTTTGGCTCAACTTTCAGTTCATGAATGTGGATTGCTCATTTGCAGTGTGCTTATTATTTGAACTTGAAGACACTGCAGTGGGTACGTCCCAGTGCCTGAGAGGTGCTGAGGAGTCTGGCTTCAGAGTGACTGAGGTCCCCTTCCCTCCTTCAGGGTTGAGCCCTGCCTTCCATTCTGGTCAAAGGCCAAGCTCAGTGTGGGGTTGATCTTGGAAGTCCCTGAGATTCTTCAGAGTGACTACCAATGGGAAGAATGTTGGAGGGTGGGCGGGTGGTGGTGGGTCTGGTCATGCTGCTGGGGCGTGGGGAAGGCCAGAGAACTGAGAGATAAGGTCACCATTTGTCACCCCCAGAGGGAGACGGACTGACAGTGACTGGACAGCTCTCCCCATCAGGGCCCAACTTTCACCTTTCACTGTCTACTTCAGTCTGTCCTTAGGCTGTGGACAGTCACACCTGGAGCCCCTGCCCCCATAAGCCTTCCAGCTTAGTGCTCAACCCTGATTCTCTCTGCTGTGGGCACAGCTTGCAGCTTCACCCCCACTCAGCATAGACTCATGCACTGTGATTCTCAGAGGGGCGGGGAAGGGAGGCGGTTAGCAGGTGGATGGCCAGGGATACTGAGCACTCAGGATAAAAATACTCAGCTCATTAATCAGATGGCAGGTTCTAGCACGCAGCGGGGTGCACAGAATGAGAGCCTGTGGTTCTGGTGTCTCACCCTGAAATGCTGCACGCTCTGGACAGGCTGGGGCCTATCTGCATGCCAAGCCAGAGAAGGGAGCACAGGAGCTTGGACAAGAAAACTCACATATCCCAGCTCCTAAAGGGGTGTGTGTGACCACGTCTCCCAGTCATTCCCAAATATAGGATTTTTTTTTATGATAACTCCTTTCTCCTTTGGGCCTGTAGCCAGTTTGGAGGTGAGAAGACTCTTCCCACAAAGAGAAGATTGGGGAAGACATTCTGACGCTTCCTGCAACCATCAGAATTTTCCAGTGAGGGCGTCCAGCTTGATCCAACAGAGACAAATGGGGAATTAGGGAGGGGGAAGGAGAGAGAGGGGACTGCGAGGCCAATGGGAGGCATGGTCTCTGGGAGATATTTAAACACGGCATGCAAGTATCACAACATTTACATTTATACTCAATTTGGATCTCGTTGGGGTGCAGCCCCTGAGGTATGTGGAGGAGACACGTTCTGGCTAAGTAGATGGGTGAGGTAGGGGAGTGCAACGTACACTGCTGTTCTCCCCGGGCCCTCGAGGTACCTCCCTTCTTTCCCCCCAGTGCTCTAGCCAAACCTAAGTCAAATGCTACCAGCCTCCTACACCAGGGAGGGGAACACTTCCTGCAGTACCCCGTTGAAAGGATTACCTAACGATGACAGTTCTTCTGGGTTCCTGAGTCTCTGTTTCTCATTCAATTAAAGCCACATGCCATTTGCGCCCTGTTGGTCAAGACAGGGGTCCTGCCACACTGCCCCTCACCCCCAGATTCCATCCTCAAAGCGCTACACGGGTGTGGGCTAGGGGGTCCCAGAGAGGGGCGAGGCATGCTCTGCGGGCCTGCAGTGCCCCCAACTCACCTCCAGGATCAGCTCCTCCATCTCAAATTGTCTTTGCGAGGCCTTGTCATCCTCGGGGGGCTCATGGTAGAGGAGGGCCAGCACCTCATACTTCTTGAACACATTCTTGTAGTTCTTTGCATTGACATTGACCACACGGTCCACACCATCGTACTCAGGGAAGTCCAGCCCTTCCTCCCCCTGTACCCCTGACTTGGGCGTCCCTAGCACCAGCAGCAACAGCAGTGCCAGCCGCAGACCCGGCACAGCTCTGGCCCCCATCCTGTCTGTAGCACTCATGGAGGTAGTGGGAGCTGGGTTGGCTCTCCTGGTCCAGAAGAGGTTAGCTGGGGTAGGGAGGGGCCCCTGGGTCCCAGATTCTGAGTTAGGGGCGCGAGTGGGAGGCGGGGTTGGGGAATGGCCCAGAGCGGTGGACAGACGACAGTGCTGGGTCCTGGAGAAACTGCCGACAGAGCCAAGGGAAAAAGGGTCAGGAGGAGGAATAGGAGCAGGGGGCGGGGAGGGAACCGGAGCTGCCCCCTGAAATTGGCACTCCTCAGTCCCCACCTGGTCCTGTCTAAATACGTCTCTGTGGTTGGCAGGAGATGGATAACCTTCTGAGGCCAGGACAGCTCCATGCGGGCTGGAATCCTCCTACCTCCTACGTTTCTCCACCAGGCTCCCAGGGGCTCCTTCCCTCCCCCTCCTGCAGTGTCCGGGGCACCTCAGCCCTGGTCCCCATGCTGGCCTAAGAGCTCATCGCCATATTAAGAAAGGAAAAGGAGAGATGCCGGAGCTAAAAATAAGAGCAGATGAGTCGGAGGTAAATGAAGCTAGGGCTGGGGGAGGGGAGGTATAAGGGTAATTGGTGAGGGCTGAGGGTAGGGCAAGGGTAATTAGAAGTTAAATGCAGTGGAGAGGAGGAGCTAACTGGGTCAGAGGCTACATTGCTAATGTAGGACAAAAGGGGAACAAATGTGGTATCGGCTCTATGTCCTACAGCCTGGGAATCTTCTGTAGGTGGTCTGATTCTGATTCTTTGATCCTAGGTAAGAGAGTGGGGCAATACAAGTGTAAGCCAGGCTGCAGGAAAGAGACCCCCTGCACTTTTCTCTAAAGAACCAGGACCAAGGATGAGGTCACTCTCTGAATAAAAGATGGAGCTGCGTCCAAGACTGGCGACCTGGCTCAGCTCCAGCCAGTTTCCTTTGCCTCACTCAACATTCCTAACTTGGGAATGCAGGGAAGGATGGGGCTGGCCCAGATCCTGCCCTGTAGAGATGTGGGCTTGGGCCCACGACGAGAAGAGGACTGTTATTTGGTTGCCACCTGTGTGTGTGCTCCCTACCCTGATCCGATGGGACTGGGTTTTCTGGGGCACAGTGGGAAGGCAGGATTTCCCAGGCTGCATGCTTTCAAGGAGAGTGAATAGCTACTATTTATTCCCACGTCTTTGACAAGACAAAGAGAAGCAGGTATAAACACTGGGGGAAAAAAAAATTAACATTAGGTAAACACAAAGAGCGGAACACTGTAAGGCTGTTGATTAATTCTGTGCACCCAAAATCCAAAGCAGAGTTGGGTGGGTAGGGGCTTAAACTTCTGGATCCAGCTTGCAGGTGAGGACAGAGCAATGAGTTCAACTCTGGACACGTAGGAAGGAAGGGCCCTCTTCATGGCCCTCCAGGGTTCTTATGCACAGGTAAACTGAGGCATAAGGGAGACCATGGAGGGTTAGATCAAAGTCACATGCTGCCACCCCACCCTGGGGTATGTCTGGTTCTAGGGGGACAGTGTTGTGTTGTGTTTTTGCATCCAGGCAGGGCCATGGAATTATGTTAGCAGAATAACTTTTCCACACGTCTTAGACCCTCCACAGCTAAACAAGGAAGGCCACAGAAAATCTCAGAAACATGGCAGGAGTGACGCCAAGAGGGACAGCTGTCGCTGCAGCAGGAGAGGTCGGAGCTAGCCTAGGCACAGCACGTTAGAGCTGGAGAGACCTCAGAAGCCTGTATCCTGGGCTCCCTGCAGAGTGACTAACGTGGGAAAGCTCCACGCCCAGAGCGAAGAGGGCCAGGTGAGACGGGGAGGCCTGCCCGGAAGCAGATGACCCGGGTGATGTCCAGCCCGAATTTGTCACTTCTGCATTCCAAGGGAGGGGGACACATTGGGACAGAGATGCTGGAACATAAAACTTGTTCCATCTTGAATCTGACCTTTTGTACCCCCGAGAGTGTGAGATGGGACTCTGGTGGCTGAGCCTGCTCCATCTCCGGGTCCTCTCCTGCATTATCGGACATTGCCATCCATCCCGTTCCCTCTCGTTGCCCTCTCTGGCTCCAGTCCTACCCCTCCCCTTTCCAGCAACCGCCTCCACTGCTCTCTCTCGATGGTTTGTTCTCTCTATTCAATTTCCTTCCCTTCAGGCCCTTGGACTTAAGAAGCCTCAGCCACTGCTATCAAATGACCGTGAGTTAGGACCTCTGTATTTTTAACCCACCAGACACCCGAAGCTCCTGCTACTGAAACCCGAGGAGCTGGCCCCTCTGTGCTCCCGCTTCCCACCTCACTCACATACACCCTGGCCCATTGATCTTCCAGGGTCTGGTTCAGCCATGTCAGCAACTGGGGAAAGACCCCAGGCTGATATAGCACTGTCCCTAGGAGACCTTGTGTTGGAAGAGGGAGGGGAAGAGGGAGAGCGACCTCTGCGGAGGGGCCTGATGTAGGGAAAACAGCTGGTTATACTCATGACGGCCTTCTCTCGATAGCCTGTCGCCTGTCACCCTCCAGACCCACCCGGGGCCCTTCCCCATCACTATCCTATGTTTTTGTGTATTTTTGGCCCCACCCTCATTGAAAGAATAGTCTGAAAGTGATTAAGGGTACACGTTCTGAAAACTGGCAGACCTTGGTTCCTTCTTGGATAAAACGGAATGGGCGGTGGGGAAACGTGTTTGTGAGTCAGTCGATGGTGTATATAAAACCCTTGTCCCAGTGTTAGGTGTAGCGTGCAGACACCTAGTGCGTGTGTTTTGCTTTGGGTGCTAGCTGATGGTTTTCCCCTAGCTTTCTTTAGCATTTCTCTCCCACCCTGTGTACTTTTGGGCACAGCCAATGCTCTACTCTGAAAGAGGCCTGAGAATGAACTGACCCACAGGGCACAGTGGAGGGGTTCACAGAGCGGAAGTGAATGAGCGGGTGAAGGGGAAGGAGGAAACGCGGAGATGAAGGTGGGCAGGAGGGAAAGTGCCCCCAGGACTTTTTGCTCATCTGAGAAGGCCCCTGGGACCAGGCAGAGAGGCAGGCTCTTGGGAAGGTCCATCACCCCATGCAGAGCAGAGGAGGCTGTTTTGCCTACAGCAAAGGCCACAGGGATTCAGAAAGTCTTATTACAGCCTCTATCTTGAGGCTACACCAGAGAAAACAGGCTAAGGGTTGGGATGGGGCTGAGGAGCCCTGATGACAGAGGACAGAGGGCAGAGGGCAGGGACCACCAGTCTGCCTGGAGTCTGTCCCTCCTACCTGTCCCTTTCTCAGGTGAGAGACACCGCTCAGCACATGGCCGTTCCCAAGTCATTTAACCTCTGTGGACCTCGGGCTTTTCACTGATGCAATCAGATCTCTTCTAGTACCACAGTGCTGTGGCCTGCAAGCTGGTCTCAGGAACTGCAAGGTGGGGTCGGATGAGTCCACCCCCCGCCCCCTGTGCAGATGCTGTGGACCCTCTCCCGTGTGAGGCTCAGTGGCTCCTCTCTCCCCCACCTTCCATTTCTCTGATCTCAACTGGACTTTGGAGGTGGTCATTTGCCCCGTCCTTGCTGTCCAGTGGCTCAGAGAGTGACTTTAAGATGGGGCGTAGTCCTTAAGTGGCAAGGACGCTTGATAGTGATCCTATCCCGGCCTTGACTCTGGTCCTCAAAAGATTTCCCCAGGCTGGTCATCATGAAGACCTGCGGAGGGAGCTTCGCCGTAATCCCCACTACCCCCAGATCAGATTGGACACATCCAGCCGGTGAGGGCTTTTCCAGATATTTACTGTCTAGACTGGCTATGGGATTCAGCAGGCCCATACCCCTCCCTGCCGGGCTCCAGCTAGACGCAGGCTGGGCTTCCCTTAAGCCCACCTCATCTTCTGCCCTCAAGCTATCCCAGGATTGCGTCTTTCTCATCCAAGGTAATTCATCCTAGGGTCTCAGATGTTGTGTCAAACTTATAATCTCTGTCCCCCCCCAGGTCTCACGACACCCTGTGTCACATGAAGCTCTTCCTCTGCTGAGTTTAGTAGTAGGTCTCCCTCTCCACCCAGCCTGTGGAAGAAAAGAGGCAGTGTGAACTGGGGGAAGGCAGAGGAGGCACCCGGGGAGACAGGCAGCAGGGAGAGAGGGGCAAGGTTGGAGGCGGGCGGTCCGGAACACAGGGCACTGAGGGTCAGATGGAACAGGGGGTGCAGCCAAGGGGCAGAGAGGGCTGGGCTTCAGGCACAGTCAAGGCTGGCAGCGAGGAGGGGAGAAAGTCAGTGTTGGGCCTGGAGGGTCCAGGCAGGACGGGAGAGCTAGTCAGGGGGCTGGTGACAACTCAGTCGGAGCAGGGCCCAGGGAAGCCTTACCACCTGGCCGCTGACGGATGAGGAGTTTTCTGATTTCATCGTAGACGAAGATGAGAATGCTGTAGGGAAGGGCACAGAACCACCAGCTTATCCTGTGGAGAGCAAGAGCCAGTCAGCATGGCAGGAGAGACAGAGGCCAGAGGAGAGGAACCACGTGTTTTATTTCTTGTGTCTACTGTGTGTCTGGGACCGAGCTGGGTGCTGGAGACAGTGTGGTTGAGTAAGATCTAGTTGATCCCTACCTTTTTTTTTTTTTTTTTTGAGACAGTCTCGTTCTGCTGCCCAGGCTGGAGTGCAATGGAGTTTTACTCTTGTTGCCCAAGCTGGAGTGGGATGGCACGATCTTGGCTCATTGCAACCTCCGCCTCCCAGATTTAAGTGATTCTCATGCCTTAGCCTCCTGAGTAGCTGAGATTCCAGGTGCGTACCACCACACCCAGCTATTTTTAGTATTTTTAGTAGAGACAGGGTTTCACCGCATTGCCCAGGCTGGTCTTGAACTCCTGACCTCAGGCAATCCGTCTGCTTCGGCCTCCCAAAGTGCTAGGATTATAGGCAGGAGCCACCATGCCAGGCCTGAGCTCTACCTTCGAGGTGGTCAAAGCCTGTGGGTTTAGTGATTGGGGGTAGAGAGAAGAGGCACGAGACAGAAACATAAAAAGCCAGTGATGATGGCCGGGCGCGGTGGCTCACGCCTATAATCCCAGCACTTTGGGAGGCTGAGACGGGTGGATCATGAGGTCAAGAGATTGAGACCATCCTGGTCAACAAAGTGAAACACCGTCTCTACTAAAAAATGCAAAAAATTAGCTGGGCATGGTGGCGCACGCCTGTAGTCCCAGCTACTCAGGAGGCTGAGGCAGGAGAATTGCTTGAACCCAGGAAACAGAGGTTGCGGTGAGCTGAGATCGTGCCATTGCACTCCAGCCTGGGTAACAAGAGCGAAACTCCATCTCAAAAAAAAAAAAAAAAAAGCCAGTGATGATATAGTATGATAAATGTCATATTAGAGCTACATGCAGTGGTCACGAGATTCTCTACCAACTTTTGTGGAGTCACTGAGGGAGATCCCTTTGCTCTCTGCCCACTCTAGCGCTTAAACCCACAAAAGGGAGGTTGTCTGAGCAGGATGGGTCTATCTGAGACAGCTAGTGTGGGCTGTCCGCGAATGTATAGATGCTTCCCTGTTACAAAGATGGGGACATTGTTTTCTTCCTAAACCTCTTTTTATAATTAGACCAGGAAGATGGATTCTGGGGAGGGGTTGAATCAGGACAGCAGTTGTTCCCTTGGATGACAGAAGAAATGGCCTAGACCAGCACTGTCCAATAGAAATATAACATGAGCCACTTGTCAAATTTCACATTTTCTAGTATCCACATTCACATAAGTAAAATGTAACAGGTGAAATTAATTTTAATAATTTTTTGTGGTGTTTTTGTTTTTTTTTTTTTATAAATTTTTAAATTGTTTTAGAAAATATTGAGATGGGGTTTCACCATCTTGGCCAGGCTGGTCTTGAACTCTGGACCTCGTGTTCCACCCATCTCGGCCTCCCAAAGTGCTGGGATTACAAGCTTGAGCCACTGGGCCCGGCAGTTTTAATATTTTTTTTTTTTTTTTTTTTGAGACGGAGTTTCGCTCTCGTTTCCCAGGCTGGAGTGCAATGGCGCGATCACCGCAACCTCCGCCTCCTGGGTTCAGGCAATTCTCCTGCCTCAGCCTCCTGAGTAGCTGGGATTACAGGCATGTGCCACCATGCCCAGCTGATTTTTTGTATTTTTAGTAGAGACGGGGTTTCACCATGTTGACCAGGATGGTCTCGATCTCTTGACCTTGTGATCCACCTGCCTCGGCCTCCCAAAGTGCTGGGATTACAGGTGTGAGCCACCGCGCCCGGCCCAGTTTTCTTTTATATTACAGAATTTATCAAAGTCTGTAGTGTTTCACTTTTTCAGCCAATATTTCATAATAAAAAAAAAGTTAAGGGGGAAAACTGACTAACCAGTGATCTAAGTATGAGAGTAATGAGGTAAGGAAACAGCCTTTATTCTGAGGAACTCTGTGATGCCAAACTGGCTTTACTCACAGGCACCTAAGTCTATTAAGTCTACCCCGCCTTTTTTTTTTTTTTCATTATCTCAAGACTCTTGGTTCAATATTTTTATCAAAAATATCCTTTCCCTCACAATTGTTTTTCTCTCTCATG